ATCTGTAAATACATTGCTGAGGTCATTGAAGAGGTGTTCTTCCACGGGGGTACTGTATCTTCTTTGAGCTGCTTTAGATGCAGTACTGCCAGGAAATAAAAAGATGGGCAAGGTTCTTGATGGGACCTGAAATACATTTGCTTATCATAATCCCTATCCCTGCACATTTTACTTCCTCAATATACATCAAAGAAAACTATTTTATTAGGGACTCCAATGTGCATTTCTGTTTGGTACACTTCACACCTCTAGGTGTCTGTTAGGAACTAGATCCTTGAGAAAACCAGCATTCTGCATTAGTGGAAAGAGCATTGGACTCAGGATCCTGGTTCAAGCAGACCCAGCTGCTTATGAGCTGTGTGACCTTGGACAAGTCATTTAACCTCTCTAGACTTTAATGTCCTTATTTATAAAATAAAATATTTGGGTTAGACATCTCAAAACCCCCAGCCAGGGCAATCCTTTCATGATCCTTGGTAGCTAGCCACAGTTTAGGCAATACATGGAAAAGTACTTTGAGAAGTGGTTAAAAGCTGTTAATGCCTTTCAAAAGATGTTATTTTTGCAGTGCAGAGCATGAAATTATACATGTAGAAAAATAAAATAAGTCCTTTCAAATTTTAGTTTTTCAAATTTAAACATAAAAATACTCATTTTAAGTGTCACTCCTCCCTCTCCTTTTTATCTTAAACAAAAAAAAGGGTCTATTTTAATGTACACAGACAATTTAAGTAATCACACCTATCCTGTGTTTAATTAACCAACCAGAGCTTTGGTAAGGTCTAAAATTGTGCATGGATCTTACCCCTTTGTTTGCCTTCTCCATTGATACGAGTTGTTAAGAGACCTCCTCTTCCTGGTAAGGGAGAAGGAGAAATCTCTGCAAGTGGAAATTTCCTTTGTAAAAGTAAATTTCCTTTACAAAAAGAAAACTTGTGCTATGTTTTCAGAGCGTTTCCTGCCTCTGTTTATTTTAAATGGTCTTTAGCTCAAAATGATCTATAGTTTGACCTATAGATCGTTTTAGGATGGTATATATCATTTAGGATGATATATAGGGCATATTTTAGGATGGTATATCCTGGTACCCTTCACCTGGACATTGCTCTCAAACCTTATGAGTAAGTTAATTCAAATACCTACCCTGCCCTGTGGTGAATGGCACCCTGCACTCCCCAAGTCTTCAATTCTGTGGGATGAATGGAGCCCTGCACTCCCAAGTCTTAAACTCCAGTGTTTTCCTCTTTCCTGGTTCATCTACCGTCTCCATGTGCTCATTTTCCTGCTTTAAGCCACAGGCAACAGCACAACCCACATGGTTCCTTGAACATGATACAATATAGCACACACACAAGTTGCCTTTGTTCCAACTCTCTTCCAGCTTTATTCAACACTTTTTATCCTCATCCCCCAACTATCATTATCATCATTCATTTATTCATTTTCCATTTATTCAAAAACTGTGCATTGAGCATGTATTATGGACTAAGTTTAGGGATACAGCAGTGAACAATAACAACAAAACTGGATGCACACTTTGCCTTCATGAAGTTTACAGTCTAATGAGGGAGATGGGGATGATTAATGAAATAGCCACACAAATAAATGTGACTTTGAGAGCATATAGCAGGGAGCCTCTCCTTTGACTTGGAAGTTATCAAGAGCATGAGTATGAATTAACTGAAGAGTGAGGAGAAGCATGTGTATTAGGCAGAAGGAATTGTATGTGAACTTGTAATTGCCCAATGGGTTCTTCCTGCCCACTGGCAAACCCAATTCACTAAGACAGCAGTATTACAATGAAGAAAGGGTTTAATTAACACAAGGCAGCTGAGAGGAAAGAGTGACTCAGCCTCCTGAGAACTCAGAGGCTAGGGATTCTACGGATAATTTGGTGGTCAGGAGGCTAGGGAATGGGCACTGCTAATTTGTTGGGGATGAAATGATAAGAGTGTGGAAAATGGTTCTTGTGCACTGAGCCCACCTCTGGGTAGGGGCCACAGGACCATTTGAGTTATGAGTCATGGGTGTTGGTGTGGTCCGTTGGTTGCCAGAATGCAAAAATCTGAAAAACATCTCAAAAGACCAACAGATTCTACAACAGTGATATTAGCTATAGGAGCAACCAGGGAAGTAAAAAAATCTTGTGACCTCTAGCCACATGGCTGCTGAGCAGTAAGGGATTATAGAAACTATGCCTATGTTTTAGCAGAGGTGAGGCCCTTTTCATAATCCTAATCTTTCATTCATCTTACAAAGGCAGTTTCGGCCCCCAAAACTGAACAAGGAAGGGATCAATTTTCGGAAGAGGCTATTATTACTCTTTCTTCAAGTTAAATTAGAAACTAAATTTCTCCCATAGTTAGCCTGGCTCGTGCCCAGTGATGAGTAAGGGCAGCCTGTCTGTAAGGCTAGAAGCAAGACAAAGTCAGCCATGCTAGATTTCCCTCACTGTCATAATCTTCGCAAAGGTGGTTTCAAAGTAGCACTGGGGTGGAGTGGAAAAAGGTCAGTGTGGCTGAAGGGTGTAGAGTAAGAAGCGGAGTGGAACAAGATGAAGTAAGGAAGGTTGACAAGGCTCTGTAGGCATGTTGAGGACTTTGGTCTTTAGTCTATTTTTAGCACAAGAAGTAAAACAATGAGTCATTGATTTCAAGAACATTGCTCTCACTAGCATATAGAAAATAGGATAGAGGCAAGAGTGGGTGTTACCAAGTTATTGTGGCACTTTAGGCAACAGATATTGGAAGCCCGGACAAGGGAGGTGGTGTTTCTGATGAAAGAAGTATGTGAACCAGGAGTTATTTAGAATGTACCAATGAAGAACTTGGCAATTAGTTGTAAAAAAGAAGAGAGGAGAGCATCAAGGATGATTTCAAGGGGTTGGAATCATCAAATTAGATACGTAAGGAGTAATATTCACTGAGAAAGGGAGAAGGAATGAGAATCAGTTTTATCTTCTTTGTTTTGTCTTGTCTTTGAGTCGTAATGGTGGAAGATTAGATGATAAATTTGGTTTGGTACATGCTAAGTTTGAAATACCTTTGAGATATGCAAAGGGAAATGTCAGGTAGGCAGTTAAATAAAAGGTTTATTATAGTGGCTCTAAAATCAGAGATAATGTGTTTCTCCAGGGGACATTTGACAACATCTGGAGATATTCTCTTGGTTGTCACAATGTGGTGAGAGGTGCTATTGGCATCTGGAGGGTAGAGGCCAAGAATGCTCCCAAACATCCTCAATGTGCAAGACAACGACACCCTGCACAGCAAAGAATTATCCAACCCAAAATGTTAAAAGTGCCAAAGGCGAGAAATGCTGGTCTATAGATATTTGAGAGTCATTGGCCAAAAGCCTTGGGTATTGATAAGATCACAAATAGAATAAGAGTAAGAAAAAAAGTGAAATAGTACAGTTTTGAGAAACTTCAGTGCATAATGGCTGGCTGACTTACCCAGCATAAGAGACCGAGAAGGAGCAGCAGAGAAGTAGAGGAAAACTCAAAGAAAATGGAGTCACAGAAGCCAAAAGTTGGGTAGAGTGATGAAAAGTGTCAGATGCCACTGAGAAGACAAAGAAAATGGGGGCTAGTGAGTGTCCATTGCATTTAGAAATGTGAAGGTCACTGGTAGCCTTTGCAAGAGCAGTTTTGGTAGCATCATGTTGAGACAAGACACACTGCAGTGGGTTGAGAAATGAATGGGAGATGAACAAATGGAGGCAGCTAGTATAGGCAATGCTTTTAGGAAGTCTGGCAATGGAAGGGAGGAGAGTGAAAGGGAACAGTCCTGGCAGGAAATGTGGAGGTCAAGAACAGTTTAGGGTTTGGTGATGTTTTTGTAGTTGTTTTATTTTGTTTTAACTTTTTCATTATGGAAAATTTCTAACATATATAGAGTAATCAGAATATTAAAATTGACTTCAATGTACCCTGGATTCTGTGGACTCTGGATTCTGTTTTATTTCTTAGATGAGTAATGTTTGTTTTAGCAGGGAGTTGATTTGGCTGGACTCAAATTCCCAACTTTGTCTCTCCTAATCAGCAATAACTAAAATCTCTGCTCAGTTTTTTTTCAGATTCCAGCTGTACTTATTTTTTGCCAATCCCCCTGTGTATGCATAGTTTAGTCAGCCAATAATTTGCGTAGATTTGGGAGTTTATTCTTTCTGCAGCTTATTCCCTTCTAGACCCCACTCCCTCTTCATTTCCTGGCTTCTCTTCTAGCTACAAATCTATTATCTGACACCTCAAGTTATTAAGACTTTGGCCTTCTGTTGCCCCAAGTTGCCTGCAGATTGGACTGCCTTCAGGCAAAAAGTTGCAAACTTGCAAATCTCAAAAGGTATAATTCCTGCTTTCAAAGCTTGATTTCCCTCCAGTATCTGTCTGCTCTTGGCCAACCCCCATTGCCTTCGTGTGTGTGTGTGTGTGTGTGTGTGTGTGTGTGTGCGCGTGCGTGCGCATGCATGTGTGTGTGTGATGATGATGGAGTAGCTCAAGACTTCCCATCCCCAGCTCCATCCCCTACTGCAAGAACCTCATGCACATGTATCTGAACATCCCAACCCACAACTCCAAGTTTCAGTCACAGCCCCAGCCCTCGGGATCCAGACACTGCAGTGTGGTCTGTACTTGGGAGGAGGGACCTGGAGAAGAGACCCAGACAGTCCCTGGAATCAGCCTTGGGGCCATTCAGTCAGGGAATTCTGACATGCTGGGTACTGGTCTAGAGGGAGGAAAGAAGGGCACAGACTCTGGGGAGCACAGGCTCTAGGTAGGCACACTCCTTGGCCCCATGGACTCCTTGCCCTGTGGAGAGAAGCAATTTGGAAGAAAGCCAGAGGATGACCCTCTAAACTGTTGGGGCTTAGGGCAGGAATCTTTCTTGCCCTGGTCTATGGGCAAATTTAATTAATGCAATACCCAGTACTGTGAACTTTGCTCAGTTCCTAGTCTGACTGCCTGGTTTCTCTGTGTGTACATGTTTTGTTTCCTTTAGTGGACTGTTCATCACCATTCATGACAAGGGCCACCTTGCAACAATGCTGAACTCTTGGCCAGAAGACAATATTAAGGTATGATTCATTTCCATTGCTATTGCATTATTGTTGGGTGAATCCTTTAAGCCTGAACCAGAGTCATTTCCAGCTATAAAATGAGCCACTGTGACACTAAAGGCATCATACTATCCCCCATTCCTAAGCCACAGACCTATTATAGCCAAGTACAGGTACACCACAGAGTAGAGGTTTGCATTAACCAGGCATCCATGTGACATTGCACTTCATTATTGTGATCATTAATCTGAAGATATGTTCAGCCTGTGTTGAGTCCCTGCTAGATATATGTGTTAGTTTCCATGGTAGACACAGAGAGAAATCAGGCATAGACCCTCTTCTTGAGTAGCTGATCTGTTGTGTGGAAGACAAGCCAGAGGCACAAAAGACTAACAAGGTGAAACTTGACCAGAAGCAGAGATGATTTTTAGCCTGAGATGATTCTGGGATGACTTCATGGGGGAAGTGACAGTGGAGCTGGGCCTTGAATTGAGAGGTAGGCTGTGGACAGTTAGCAAGTGGAGAGACTAGGATGTGGGGTGAGGACATGCTGCTCCAAAGGTGAAAGCTTATGACGGACAATATCTTCACACTTAGAGGTGTGTGCACCCTGGGTGTACACAGCAGTGTGGGGGTAGGGATGTGGGGCATAAATGTAGAGTGATAAAATAAACCTGCCACTTCTTCCAGGAACATCCATTTTACTTAAAAACTTTAGGAGAAAATATTTCTCTTTTTTTCCTTTTCTTCTTTTTGAGACAGAGTTTCACTCTTATTGCCCAGGTTGGAGTGCAATGGCACCATCTCAGCTTACCACAACCTCCACCTCCTGGGTTCAAGTGATTCTCCTGTCTCAGCCTATTGAGTAGCTGGGATTACAGGCATGCATCACCATGCCCAGCTAATTTGTATTTTAGTAGAGACAGGGTTTCTCCATGTTGGTCAGGCTGGTCTCAAACTCCCAACCTCAGATGATCCCCCCGCCTTGGCCTCCCAAAGTGCTAGGATTACAAGCGTGAATATAATATAGAATGCAAAAGTTTTAATTTTTTTTTTTTGAGACAGAGTCTCTCTCTGTCATCCAGGCTGGAGTATAGTCGCAGATTATTGCAACCTCAACTTCCTGGGCTCAGGTGATCCTCCACCTCAGCCTTGCCAGTAGCTGGGACTACAGGTATGAGCCACTATGTCTAGGTTTGTTTTTTTTTTTTTTTTTTTTGCAGGGATGGGGTTTTGCCATGTGTCCCTGGCTGGTCTTGAACTTCTGGGCTCAGGCAATCTGTCTGTTGAAGCCTCCCAAATTCCCGGGATTACAGGCATGAGCCACCGTGCCCAGTGATGTTAAAACATGCAACTTTGCCGGGTGCAGTGGCTCATGCCTGTAATCCCAGCACTTTGGGAGGCTGAGGTGGGTGGATCACGAGGTCAAGAGATCGAGACCATCCTGGTCAATATGGTGAAATCCCGTCTCTACTAAAAATACAAAGAATTGCCGGGCACGGTGGCTCAAGCCTGTAATCCCAGCACTTTGGGAGGCCGAGGCGGGTGGATCACAAGGTCAAGAGATTGAGACTCTCCTGGTCAACATGGTGAAACCCCGTTTCTACTAAAAATATGAAAAATTAGCTGGGCATGGTGGCACGTGCCTGTAATCCCAGCTACTCAGGAGGCTGAGGCACGAGAATTGCCTGAACCCAGGAAGCGGAGGTTGCGGTGAGCCGAGATTGTGCCATTGCACTCCAACCTGGGTAACAAGAGCGAAACTCCGTCTCAAAAAAAAAACATGCAACTTTGTAGAACTGTATTAGCCTCTGGCTAAATCCCCAGATCTCCTGCTATAGAGACATCTATGGAGGAATCTGAGGGGCTCTGGTATCTAAAATCATTGTTACTTCTGAAAACAAAATGAGTGAGGCAAAAATGCAAAACATCCACTGGTTGGCTGGTGAGGGCATTTTTGACACCTGAATTGGGGAGGGGTTGGTGCTGACCAAATATAGTACAAGGAACTCTCAGGGCCAATGTTCACATCACCCTGCTTTGCCTGGGAGGCTCTGACACTCCAACACTGTTTTCTCTCTTTTTTTCCCTGCCCATTCCCCGAGGCCCTCCACCCTTCTCCACTAGACACCAAATACAGCTTCTTTCTGTCTACCTCTCTTTGTGTCCCACCCACTGCTGTCTCTCTCCAGGGAGTTTTATTTAAAAACAGAGCAGGCTGGGGACAGAACCCTGGCTCTCAGGAGCCAGGCTCAAGCCACAGCCAAGACCCTGGGACTTTAGTCCTAGCTCATTTTTTACATCTGGGTCTGCGTATCATTTCATCTTGTGCTTCTCCCTCCTGCTTATCTTCTTAGACTCCAGTTATGTGAAGCCCTTGGCCCTGCGGGTTTTTGTCCCAGGCCCAGAGAAGCAAGTTTCCAGAGCATGTCTAGCATGAGTCTATAATAAAATATTGGGACATTAAGGAAAGCCAGCTTACTGGATGGGCTAATCTGAGTGTATATGCTGTTGGGGTCCTGTAAAGTTACCTCTTTCACTCACCTTCCTAGACAGTTCAATCTTGGGGAAACCTTAGACAAAGGAGGTACTCAATAGATGATTGTGGAGTTGAATAAATTCAGTCGATAGACAGACTGAGCATCTTTCATGTCACAGATACTGTGCCGGGGGTTCTCTGCTAATATATTCGGTGCTTTTGTGCAAATTATAAGGAATTAGAAAGAATGATAAAGGTACCTCTGTTTAACTAACTAAAAGGCACTCTTCTCTCCAACCTGGCACAGGAGTTTGGTGAGGGGATGATGGACTAGATTTCAGGTTTCAATTGTTCCTCTTATCAGGGCACAACTGTATCAAAGGCCTTGCTATGAGGAATGAAAAATGAGAAAAACATGGACCCTACCCTCAGATTGCTTTGTTTTGTGGTTGGGAAACTGAGATGTAAATTGAAAATAGAACCTTAGGAGCTAAATATCTATTGACTTCAATAAACATATTTTGAGAACCTTCTAAATCCTGAATGCTAATTGCCAAAGAGATGGAGACCACAACCGTTGTGATTTTAGAGGAAGAGAAACAGGGCTTTGGGTACCCTGGAAGAGGTAGGACTCCAGCAGGCCCCAGAAAAGAGAGCTATCCAGAGCCTCTAAGGAGAATATTAAGTTGCATGAGCAGATCTGGGCCCACGGTATTGAATTCAGTTGCATTCAACCATCTTTTAGTAAACATCTACTCTGGAAGAGCTCCCTGGAGGTTCACATACAGAGAAGGTATATGGGCCCATATTCAAGGAGCTCAAAGTCTAGTTAGAAAGACTGATTCAAAAATAATGACATACACTGCATCTGTGCTGCCAAAGAGACCCCAGAGGATAAGGAACAAACAGGTATCCAGTTTCCCACCCACCCTAGAGTGCACAGGTGAGTGTCTGAGACCACCTCCTTTATTCCTGCCTCACTTTGAAGAAACCTGGAGATCAGTCCCAGTGACTATGTAGAGGAATAAGACCTGGCTTTGCAATCAGACAGCCCTGGGTTCTGGCCTTACCTGCTGCGTGTGCAGATAGCCTCTCTGAGCTTTGCTTTCCTATTGTAAGAATTAACTGTGATAAAGTCTATACACATTGAAGTGCACTTGAATGGATATTGCCATCACTGGAGGTGGTGCAGGCAGCTGTAGCCCACATAGCAGGGTAGACAGGGCCTGAGGAGGCTCTTTTACCTGGGAATCACAGGCCACAAATGAGCAGTCAGACGATTTGGCCCCTAGATATATTTGATATGGCCCTTAGTGGATTTCTAACATTTTGAATTCATGGGCAACATTTTAAAATCACGAAATTTCATCAGAAATAAATATCCAAGCACCTGGATTTGTGGCTTCTCTGGAAAAACCAGGAGCTCTGAATATTGGGCCTGTAGTCTGGCATGTAAACAGGTCCACTAGAGCTGATTGGACTGCCTCTGGCTTACCCCGGGCCCCTCCCTGCCCTACTCACTGTCCTTTTTCTGGAGGGTTTCCTCCCCCCATCTCCAGGGTACCCTTTTAGAGGTTTAGAATTTCCAAGCCACAGTCTTTCTTGTTTTTTGATGCGTATTTTCCTGTTATTTAGAAAGTGGAAAGGAAGATCTTCCTACTTAGGTAGGGAATCTCTTCTCATCATTATTCCATAGCATTTGGGGACTGATGCAGAACTTCTCCTTCACTACTTCATTCTATTCCCACAGACACAGGGAGAAGTTGGAGTAAGGACTTCTGAAATCCCCAGTGTGTGTCCTGAAGAATGTGTCCAAGTGTGGCTGGGTGCAGTGGCTCACATTTGTAATCCCAGCACTTTGGGAGGCCAAAGTGAGCAGATCATTTGAGGTCAGCAGTTCAAGACCAGCCTGACCAACACAGTGAAACCTTGTCTCTGCTAAAAATATAAAAATTAGTTGAGCATGGTGGCAGGTGCCTGTAATCCCAGCTATTCAGGAAGCTGAGGCAGGAGAATCACTCGAAGCCCAGAGGTGGAGGTTAAAGTGAGCCTTGTGCCACTGTACTCCAGCCTGGGCAACAAAGCAAGACTCTGTCTCAAAAAAAAAAAAAAAAAAAAAAAAAAAAAGGCCAGGCACGGTGCACGGTGGCTCATGCCTGTAATCCCAGCACTTTGGAAGGCACAGGCAGGTGAATCACCTGAGGTCAGGAGTTTAAGACCAGCCTGGTCAAAATGGTAAAACCTGATCTCTTCTGCAAAAATTAGTCAGGAATGATGGCACATGCCTGTAGTCCCAGCTTCCTGGGAGGCTGAGGCAGGAGAATCACTTGAGTCTGGGAAGTGGAGGTTGCAGTGAGCTGAGATGGGGCCACTGCATTCCAGTCTGGGCAAGAGAGTGAGACCCTGTCTCAAAAAGAAAAAAAAAGAATGTGTAGAGTTGTGTCATTTCTTAGATGACCAAGCTGAGGTTAAGTGACTTGTCTGAGGTTACCCACAATTAAGTGTTGGCTCTCAGCCCATAACTGTGGTCCTAAGTCAC